ATGGGTGATTTCAACCGTAGACAGATGGAGAATGGGGACCCACATGGTGGTGGAGATACGTGGAGAGCTGAACTTTTGGAAGTGGCAACAAGAAACTTTGAGCCAACATGTCAAGTGACCCAAAAGAATGAGAGGCAATGATGAACCAGCTAGACTCGACCTGATATTCACCCTGAATGAGTCAGAAATAAGGGAAGTCAAAGTTGAAGCGCCCATAGGAACGAGTGACCACAGTGTACTGACCTTTGAGTATCTGGTGGAGGTAGGGATAACCTATCCAAGGATGGGATCAGAGCGAAAAAGGGCTAAATTACCGAAGAGGAAAATATGACGAGATGAGGAACTTCCTAATGAGAATACCATGGGAAACAGAATTCAGAAAAAAAGACTGTACAGGACATGATGGACTATGTCACCCAGAAGTGCCAGGAAGCTGCAGACAGGTTTATACCGGTCCAAAAGGAGAAAAATGAAAAGCAACAGAAGACTCCATGGTTCAACCAGGAATGCTAGGGAGCGAAGCAATTGAGTAAAAGAACATGGAGAAACTACAGGAATAACAGAACACCAGAGAGCAGGGAGAGATACCAGAGGGCCAGAAATGAGTACCTCAGAGTGAGAAGAGAAGCAGAGAGACAGTATGAAAATGACTTTGTGAGTAAAGCTAAGACCCAACCAAAGCTGCTTCACAGCCACATCAGGAGGAAAACAGCAGTGAAGGAACAAGTGATGAAACTGAGAAAAAGTGAGAACAGAAACACAGAAAATGACAAAGTGGTGTGTGAAGAACTCAAGAGATTCCAGGAGGTCTTCACAATAGAACAAGGAGAAGTCCCTGCATTAAATGAGGAGGCAAACCAAGCAACCTTGGAGGAATTTGACCTCACCAGTGATGAGGTCAAAAGGAATCTGTTGGAGCTGAATGTGACAAAGGCTGTTGGACCTGACAGAATCTCACCATGGATACTAAAAGAAGGTGCAGAAGCACTAAGCGTGCCACACTCTATGGTGTATAACAGGTCACTGGAAACAGGAGACCTACCGGAAAGCTGGAAGACAGCTAATGTGGTCCCAATATACAAGAAGGGTGACAGGCAAGAGGCACTGAACAACAGGCCAGTTTTCCTAACTTGTATACCATGCAAGGTGATGGAGAAGATCGTGAGGAAAAGGCTCGTAGAGCATCTGGAGGGAAATAACTTTGTAACGCACCACCAACACGGGTTCAGAGATGGTAAATCGTGCCTCGCAGGTTTAATAGAATTCTGTGACCATGCAACAAATATTAGGCAAGAAAGAGAAGGGTGGGCCGACTGCATTTTCTTGGGGTGTCAGAAAGCCTTTGACACAGTACCCCATAAAAGGTTGTTACAAAAGACAGAGAAACATGCAAGAGTAAAAGGTAAGGTGCTCCAGTGGATAAGGGAGTATCTAAGCAAAAGGAAAGAGCGAATAACTTTGTGAGGGGGGAGACATCAGAGTGGCGAGATGTCACCAGCGGAGTCCTACAGGGCTCTGTACTTGGACCCATCCTGTTTCTGATATAGGTAAACGATCTTCCGGAGGGTATAGACTCGTTCCTCTCAATGTTTGCTGATGATGCAAAATTTATAAGAAGAATCAAAACAGATGCAGATCGACAGAGACTACAGGACGACCTGAAACTGGTGGCATGTTCTAGAAAATGGCTACTAAAGTTCAACTCAGGAAAGTGCAAAGTAATGAAATTAGGCGAAGGGAGCAGAAGGCTGAACACAAGGTACCATCTGGGAGGTGATATCCTGCAAGAGTCAAATAGAGAGAAAAATCTGGGGGTTGACACCAAACCCGTCCCCAGAGGCCCACATCAAAAGGATATCATCAGCGGCATATGCTAGACTGGCCAACATAAGAACTGCCTTTAGAAACTTGCGTAAGGAATCGTTCATGACCTTGCATACCACTTATGTCAGACCAATCCTGGAGTATGCAGCTCCACCCTGGAGTCCATACCTAGTTCAAAACAAGAAGTTCGAGAAGATTCAGAGGTATGCCACCAGGCTCGTCCCGGAACTATGGCATAACCATAACAATAAATTACACAATGAATAGCGCTCTATAAATCATTTAGTATCCTGTGTGGACACAATGACTTCCCTGGGAACGACGGTGTCATCTTGTGGTGTCTAACTTGCTCTTCCTCGTGTACTCAGGAGGGCAACACTACACCTTCTAACGCTGCCGGCTCAAAATGCCTCGTACAAAGCGCATCGACTTTTCTCCAGATGCGTTTTTGTCGATAAGTAGAAAGAGGGCTTGTATTTGTTTTAGTGCTGATAATATAGTTCGTCCCAGGGAAATTTTTTTTATGATGTTTACAGTCCAGAGACTGATGTTTTCAGAAGAATTCACATTATTATTTATTGGTGAATTTAATGGCGACATGGTAATGATAACCCCGTTTTCCTCCGAGGGAAATTCCACAGCAATCTCGTTTTCTTTGAATGAATAAAACATGCATCTACTTTGGGTTAATTTGTTAGTACAAAATAAGGAGCAATACTATCTGCATATTGTATTAAAGGTCGGTTTTTCCGACAGACTCCATACACAGTTTCAAGTGTAGATTTGATAGAGCCCAATAGGCTCAGGAACCTGTACATCAGTTGATTGACAGTTGAGAGGCGGGACCAAAGAGCCAGAGCTCAACCCCCGCAAGCACAACTAGGTGAGTACAACTGGTGAGTACACACGTTATTCCTGAGACATGTGGCTGAGAGTCTGTGTAAACACCAGACATGTGGCTGAGAGCCTGTGTAAACACCAGACATGTGGCTGAGAGCCTGTGTAAACACCAGACATGTGGCTGAGAGTCTGTGTAAACACCAGACATGAGGCTGAGAGTCTGTGTAAACACCAGACATGTGGCTGAGAGTCTGTGTAAACACCTACAATTATATTTATTAATAAATCTGTATGCAAGAGCCGGAGTTTACAATTGTTTACATGATAGTGTCGGCTGTAGACCGGGCCGCATGAACGTCCGGGCCCCGAGACGTGAAGCAGTATAGCGACGTGGGGTCAGATTCACGAAGCACTTACGCAAGTACTTACGAACGTGTACATCTTTCCTCAATCCTTGACGGCTTTGTTTACATTTATTAAACAGTTTACAAGCATAAAATCTTCATAATCAACTGTTGTTATTGTTATAAACAGCCTCCTGGTGCTTCGGAGCTCATTAACTGTTCAATAATTGTAAACAAAGCCGCCAAAGATTGAGAAAAGACATACAGGTTCGTAAGTGCTTGCGTAACTGCTTCATGAATCTGGCCCACATCTGCACCTCTCCCCCAACAATGTGGCTGGAGCAGAAATATCGACTAGCAAGAGTAGCGCGCGGCCTCCGTCACTCCCTAGTCAATGGCGCATATTTCACTCTCTGAGTATATTACCTCGATATATCACACGCCAGACTCCGGCGTAACAATATCCGAAAATAAGAAACAGTCTCCTATGTCACGGGCGAACGGCGGGAGAGACAATCAGCGCCATCTGTTGGTTGAGATGTGAAGTGTCTGGGCGCGCAGCCGGGCCGCCGCCGCCGCCGCCAGCCCGGCCACTCCGCCCGGGACAGAATTTATAACTCGGACTTTCCTTGTGTGCCAACGACAAGTTAAAGGCTTCATTTTCCCCTCTGGCGACGGCTTGGGTTCAGGCTTCAGACTGACCAGGGCGGGGGGGGGGCGCAGACTTTCACTCAGGGGACGTGTTTACCCTTCAAGCTGATTACATCACTAATACAGCTGCCACATACAACGCCAACACAGCTGCAGGCTACAACGCCAACACAGCTGCAGGCTACAACGCCAACACAGCTGCAGGCTACAACGACAACACAGCTGCAGGCTACAACACCAACACAGCTGCAGGCTTCAGCAACAACACAGCTGCAGGCTACAGCACCAACACAGCTGCAGGCTAACACACCAACACAGCTGCAGGCTAACACACCAACACAGCAGCAGCCTACAACACCAACACAGCAGCAGCCTACAACACCAACACAGCTGCAGGCTACAGCAACAACACAGCTGCAGGCTACAACACCAACACAGCTGCCGGCTACAACACCAACACAGCTGCCGGCTACAACACCAACACAGCTGCCGGCTACAACACCAACACAGCTGCAGGCTACAACACCAACACAGCTGCCGGCTACAACACCAACACAGCTGCAGGCTACAGCAACAACACAGCTGCAGGCTACAGCAACAACACAGCTGCAGGCTACAGCAACAACACAGCTGCCGGCTACAACACCAACACAGCTGCAGGCTACAGCAACAACACAGCTGCCGGCTACAACACCAACACAGCTGCAGGCTACAGCAACAACACAGCTGCAGGCTACAGCAACAACACAGCTGCAGGCTACAGCAACAACACAGCTGCAGGCTACAGCAACAACACAGCTGCAGGCTACAGCAACAACACAGCTGCAGGCTACAGCAACAACACAGCTGCCAGCTACAACGCCAACACAGCTGCAGCCTACAACACCTGTCGGAAAATCCGACACCATTTAATAATATACAGACAGATAATAAGTGTTGCTGTATTACCAACAAGTTACCCATAGAAAACGTAACTTGTAGTGGAATTACCGTCTAAAGAAAACGGGATATCATCACCACATACTATTATAATTCACCACCTATTATGGTGGGAATTATTCTTAAATACATTAGTCTTTGGACTTTACCATCATAAAAACATCTTATATAAATTAACTTAATTATCAATATTAAAGTAGAGTAAATGTGACCCTTCTATCACTTTCTGAAATCTGGACAAAGTAGGCCAGGCGTCAGTGGGGAAGGAGGGCAGCTGTTGTTATGAGACCAGAGGCTCACACGGGAGCAAATTCGGCTCCTGTTAAATTTACTTGGACGTAGTGTTATGGAACCCAAAGGTGTACCATTGTCAACACGCTGTCTACAATACAAGTTAAGTGTCTAT